CAAGTGGGAAAAATTTGAAATATGGAATAAATTAGATCAAGACAGGGGTGGATTATGCCAGGAATTATCAATAAGAATGGTGTACATCAGGAAAAACTTTGGTTAGCAATGGCAGCATTTGATCCTATATACTTACATGCTGCCACTCCCTTTAAACCTGATATTGCTCTTTTTTATAATAGAACAAAGCTAGTTGCCTGTTTACCCAGGCATCAAGCATTTCTTTTGGGAAGACCCAACATCACACTGACACCTGATGGGTATTATAAAATTGTATGCAAAAATTGTGTAGTAAATAGATGCTTATATTATGCACATGGAACTTGGGAATTTGTAGCTATGATATTAGAAAGACCTAAATATTCTATATTTCCTACTCAAGTACAGGAGGGATGGTTTTTAGCTCCTGCTGATCAAACATTGTACTATCTTAATCGAGAGATTTCTGTTAGAAAAAAGAGATGTGTCCAATGTGTCGTTTGGGGAGTTGTGTCCCTGGTATCACTTATCTCATCCCTTGTTGCATCTGCAGTAACATTTCATACATTTACACAGCAAGTGCATGATGCACAATACACTGAAGCATTGGCTAGGAATGTGTCATTGGCACTTCACACACAAAAGGAAATTGATTTAGATTTTGAGAGAAAATTGGATGCATTAAAAGATGCTGTGGAATTTATTGGGGATGAAGTTGCAGAAATAGAATTTAGAGCTACTTTAAGATGTGATTATCACTTTACTATGGTATGTGTTACTCCTTTTCCATATAATTCTAGCATTGTAAATTGGAACATGGTTAAGAATCATTTAGAAGGTGTTTGGCATCATAGTAACCTTTCTGCTGATTTGTCTTTTCTTGCTAATATCACCCAGGTGATTGTAGATAGTCACTCCCCAGGGATTAACCCAAAAAATCTGGCTGTAGAGATCCTGAAAAAATTAAGTGAGACCAATATATTTAACAATTTACCTGCCTTGTTACTTCATGCATTGTCTTGGGCAATATTATTCATCATATTATGTTTTATTGTCCCCTGCATGGTTACCTTAATTAAATCAAGGATCACAGTGTTGGGAACGGATGTTCATCACCTCAAGCTCCTTGCTAATTCGAGAAGGGAGGAAGTTGTTGAGGGCCGATCTTAAGAGTCTGATAAGGGTTTAAGATCCAAGGCAGAGTTTGACCTCTGCTCAGGCTTTCACCCCAAAGGGCTCGGGGATTAAGTGGTACAGCTCCCCAAATTCCTTCCTGATAAAGAGGTCTCTGAGACATCCCTTCTCTCTCTTTGAACCTGAGATTTACGTATTTACTCCTCTATGCAGGTGGCGCCAAGGTGGGAAAACCTTGGAATCTACAGCCCAATCTAGGAACCCTGATAAGGAGGAAATTCATGATTGTCACATCCTCAGTAGATGTTCTGGGGAGTATCTCACGGGGAGGACTCTGTGAAGTTAGGCTAGATCTTCCCTATATATTCTGTGCCCTCAGATGAATAAACTGAGTCAGTCATTCTACTCCGCCTGGCCCATATGTCATAAGTTATTTCACGCCTCTCCGTTCGGTGTACAATCTGGTTGCGGGCAATAACTTAACCCTAACTGCCTCACCTCATCAATCAGTCAATCAATTAATTAATTAATTAATTGAAAGCCCTACAGAGTCAGCTAAAAGATTAGCTGAAACAATAGCTTCAGCACAGTTACAGGATATAAACTGAATCTACAAAAATCATCAGCATTTCTGTTTACTACCAACAAATCCCATAAGAAAAAGGACAGAAAAATTCTATTTTAAAATCACTATGGCGGGTGGAGCCAAGATGGCAGAATAAAAGCAATGACTCACTTGAGCTCTCCCCCAAACTTCTCCAAATACCTATAAAAAATGGCTCTAAACAAATTCTAGAGCGGCAGAACGCACAAAAAGACAGAGTGAAACACATGTGCAGCCCAAGACAACCTGGATGGTTGATAAAAAAAAGGTCTGCCGCACCAGGCTGGGGGAGGAGTGCAGGCAAAGACAGGGCCAGAGGAAACCCGGAACGGGCCTCAGGCGACGGAAGCCCAAGAAACCGTGGCACTGTCCAGACTTCTCAACCCATAAATGCAAAGGACAACCCAGAAGGTCAGTGGGAAAGGTCTGTCAGACCTGGGTGAGAGAGGAGCGCGGCCCTCACACAGCCCCAGGGTGGTGACTGCTTCCAGAGCTCGGCCCACAGATGGAGTCGAGATTGAGTGGCTGATCAGAGGGGGATTTCAGGGATCTCTCTGCTGGCACTGAGGCTAGATTCTCTTGCTTTGCCCATGCTTGGCTCTGAGTCACAGTTCTGGGAGGCAATCCTGGGTGAGGTGGAGTACTGGTGTGGTGGAGCTTGTAGTGGCAGCAGAGAGGAAACCTTCCTCACCGTTCCAAGGCAGAAAAGCATGCTTGTGGTCACTCACAGAGCAGAGCACAGGCCAGGAGAGAAGGAAACACCTCTCCTTTAATCACACCACCTTGGAAGAACTGAAAATTTACAGGTCCCTAGAAGTATCTCTGAAAACAGCTGCACAAAACCCCCGACGCTTGGGACAGTACATTCTCCACACTGGAAGCAGATTCCTACCTTAACAAAGAGTTTATAACTCAAGTAATTGGCTGGGATCATGAGCAAACTACACAAAAAAGTCAGACCATAGAATCTTTCTTTGGCGACAAAGACGATCAAAACATACAACCAGAAAAAGACAACAAAGTCAAAGCTCCTACATCCAAAGCCTCCAAGAAAAATATGAACTTGTCCCAGGCCATGGAAGAGCTCAAAAAGGATTTTGAGAGGCAAGTAAGAGAAATAGAGGAAAAATAAGGAAGAGAAATCAGAGTGATGCAAAAAAAAAAAAAGAAATCATGAAAAACCAGTCAACAGCTTGCTAAAGGAGACCCAACTGAAACTATTCACTCCAAAGTTACCAAAGCTTTTACCAAAACTATAACTATAAAGTTACGTTATTTCTTAATGGCTAAAACCAACAGACTCTTCATTAGCACCTCCTTCCCGGATCCTCCCTTCTCCTGGAGTTCTCTTGTTCCCCACCTAGCCTTCCTCAGTGTCCTTTCCTGGGTCATCATGCATGTCCTGCCTCTTATTTTGTGTGGACGCGCCCAGGCTCCGCACTGGCCTCTCTTCTCTCACTAGGTGAAGCGGCACTGGAGTTGGGGTAAGAGGGACCCAGGTTCAGATCCCAGCCTCTGTGCCTCAGTGGGCTCCCTGGCCTCTGGGATGCCCTCCCAGCTCAAAGTCTGTGATCCCATACATTTCCTCTTGGTCTCCTCAGCTCCCTCAGGTTCACCCATCGCCTCCCACATCTCTAGACCTAGCCTCAGTCTCTCTCCAGAGTTCCATTTCCACAACACCATCTGTCCAACAGAAACTTCCAACTAGACGTCCTGAAGACGTGGTCAATGCCAAATGTCAAAAACAGAATTCTAATTCTTTTCTTCCTGACTTTTCCATTCTTTGCTCACTGCCTCAGTCACTCTTAGCCCTTTCCTTCCCTCAGTCCCAAGCCCCCTCTTACATCTACTTCTCCCTCTCTACTCACATGCAAATCACTTTAATTAGTAATAATCATAGTAACAGCTAGCATTTCTACAGCACCTATGTGCCAGATACCGTGCTTCACCAATATGATCTCATTTGATCTTCACAACAGCCCTTTGAGGTAGGTGCTATTATTATCCTCATTTTACAGCCGAGGAAACTGAGGCAGACAGAGGCGAAAGGACCAGGATCACACAGCCAGGAAGTGTCTGAGGCTGAATGTGAACTTGGGTCTGAGTCCAGGCCAAGGGCTGTGGCACCTAGCTGCCACTCAGGCCCTCAACACCTGTCACCTGGATTACTGCAGCAGCCTCCCCACCTCCAGCTCGTCTTCGGCAGCCTAGGCTCCAGACAGCTTCCACCAGGATATTCCCAAAGCACAGGTGTGACGAAGCGAGTGCCCTACTCAAGCAACCTTTCCTGGCTCCCAGCTGCCTCCTCCTCCAGGTGGTACTTGGGGACCTTGACCACCTGGCTCTAGCCAACCTTCCCAGGCCACCTATCTGTGGCTCCCACAAGAGGCACCCACCCTGTGCTTCTGTTTGGAGGACCCTCCAGGGGAGGCCCTTCCTGATCTCCCCATTCTCAGTGTCTGCCCCATCACCCCCAGCCCCCCATTACACTAGCTGGTATGTGCCTGTCTGTCTTCCCAGCTGATCCACCCCAGTAGAATGGAAGCTCCTCGAGGGCTGGGTCTGTCTGGTTTTTGTCCTTGTATTCTCCGCAAAGCAACAGAGCTAGGCACATAATAAGCGCTAACTGCAGCTTGTGCAATCAACCAGGCCACCCTGGGCTCTAGTCTGTTGTTTTGTTTTGAGCTGGGCTTGGAGTCCAGAGGCCCCAGTGCAAATCCTGCCTCCGGGGGAACTTGGCAGCTTTGTGATGAGGGGGAGAGGGAGGAGGCTGAGATCAGCTCCATGATGATCCCCCCCCACCCTCAGAGGGTGGGTGTGAAGGTCCACTAGGACCACAGTGCAAAGCACTTTTCGGGTGCCACAGGAATGCCAGGATGGACAGTGCAGCAGGGGAAAATCCGTGTGAGTGCGAGTCGGGGAGGAGGCGAAGGGGAGAGAGGAGGGAGTCTCCCTGACCTTGGGAGGACCCGCTCCGCTCCGCCCCTCCAGGCAGCGGCTGGCCTCTCCGGCCTTCCGGGCTTCCGGGACGCCGGGGCGGAGGGAAGCAGGGCTGATGCCCCGCACGGACCAGACCAGACTCGGCAGGGGCTGCCAGGAGTGGGGGAGGAGGGGAGTCCCCAAGGGGGCAGGGCTGAGGGCCTGGGGCCGGAGGCGGGGGAAGGAGGTGCATCTGAACCGCCAGCGGGATCGCAGCTGCCCAGAGTGGCCTCAGTTTCCCTGCACCGCGGGGGGGGGGGTGACGGAAGGTATCCGCACCCACCCACCAGGCTTAGAAACTCACCCAGGCCCCGGGCGCTGCTGGGCATGCGTGTACTCGCTGCTCCGAGAGACTCCGCACTACATTTCCCAGAGAGCAGCTCGCTGCTTCCTCTTCCGGTGGCGTGGCCGACAGACCGGAACTTCGTCCTCACAGCCTCCTCCCTACCTCCCCTCTCCTCTCGCCCTCCCCCCAGCTACCGGAAGAGGAAGCTGGGCTCGCAGCGACTTCTGGGAGACGTAGGCTAGAACCTTCACAGGGAAAAGAGGCGGGAGGAGGTGAAGCGAAGCACAGGCTGAGATGGGGGAGGGAGCCCCAGGCATAAGGGGCCGAGGGGAACCTCCTTCCGCAGGAAGCCCCTCCCGGCCCCTCTCGGGTCTGGGGTCTTCCCTCCTCCCCCTCTATATAGCTTGCACACTTTTGTTTTCTTCCCCATTCGACCGTTAAATCCCTCAAGTCCGGAGAGCCTGGAAGTCTGACCACTGCCCCGTCCCCCCCGGGATGCCCCGGAGGTTGGGGGGCTTCTTGGCCAGGGACCGTCATTTGCCTCTTTTGCAGTCCCGGCTGTCTGCCCAGCGCCTGGCACGTAGTAGGCTCTTCGTAAGTGTTGCTGCCTGGCTACAAATACAAGGCTTGGTAATTGACTTATCCTGGTTGATCTGCCTGTCCATTCCAGAAGCTGGACAGTCGGGACTAGAAGGGCCTTGGGGCTTAATAAACCGGAACTGCCCCCTCTGCAAACGCCCCCCCGATCCCAGTCTTGGGTCTGAATACACTGGGCAACGTAGGAGAGAACACCAAGGGCAGGATTGCAGACAGTCCGACCTGGGCATCCATTTAGCTATCAACAGCCCTTTGAGAGGACGTTCAAGGGCTGACCATAGTGGAATGGAGGTGTAGGGCCATCATACCGGGAGAGCCCTGGAAACACCCTCGGTGTGACATGCCCCCTTCAGCGGTCAGTCTGGTGAAGCCTAGAACCTCTTCCCCAAATAATGGTTTTAAAGAATTGGAAAGAAAACCAATTATAACAAAATACAAATATCAACATATTTTTGAAAAACCAAGGTCAAAGGATGCTGTTAAGAAACCCAAGTCTGGGGCATATATGGCTTTGAACCCTCTGATTTGTCCTCACACTCTGGAATAAGGCTGGGGTTCGAGGAAGTGGAACACAAGGAGTAACAAAGCCCTGCCTTCTCTCTACTCAGGCTTTTCACCGTCTGCTCCCCAGCCTGGAGTGCTCTTCCTCTTCCCTGGCCCTCCACCTGGGCCTCCTGGCTGCCTTCAGTCTCCGCTAAAATCCCACCTTTCCTCGTCCCCCTTCATGCTGGGGTCAGCTGAAGTGGTCTCCGGTTTCTCCTGTCTGCCTTGTTTAGATTTAGGTTTTCACATGTGGGCTCCCCCGTTAGATTGTAAGCTACTTGAGGGTAGGGTCTGTTTTTCCCTCTACTTGTATCCTCAGTGCTTAGCAAACAGTAAGTGCTTACTAAATACTTGTGGATTTGATTTGGGAAGAGACATAGAGGGAAGGATGGAGAAGGAACAGTGAGAGAGCTCGGCTCCTTTCTCAGGAAAGGTAGAAAGAGTAGAGAAAGGGCATGGGGGGAATGAAACCTCAGCTCCCGAAGTCTTCAGACATTTGTTCCTATTTCGTGACCCCAGCCTGGCTGCCCTTAGCCTCGGGAGGGGAGGGGCCAGTTTCCAGGTCACTTACCCAGCTGAGATCCAGGACCACCAGCAGAACAAATGAGCTTCCCTGGGGGAGGGGAATATCTTCGTTCTTAGGCACTACCCACAAGCTAGCGCACCCCCAGATTCCTCCTCTGACCCACACCTGTACCCCTCCCCTTCTTTCCCCATCCTGCTCTCACTTCTGGCCTCCTTCAGCCCCTGGGACCCCTGCCCACCCCTCCCCCACTGCTCCTACCTTTGTCTCTCTTCCCCTCCCCCTTCCTCGGCCCTCTCTGTACCTCTCCAGTCTTTTCCCTTTCCCCTCTTACCGAACCCACCTCTTCCTCCTCTTTCCCTTCTGCTCCCCCTCAAGGCACTATGTCCTCTAACTCTAATCTCTCTGTTCCTCCATCCAGAATCTTGCAAGAACTCAGGTAAGCAGTTTTTTCGATTTTACACACACACACACACACACACACACACACACCACACACACACACGTTTTTCGGTCATGTCCGACTCTTCATGGTCCCAAAGAGTTGGAGTTTCATGGTCTCTTTGGGACCATGAAGAGTCGACGCGACTGAAAAAACAGAACGGCAAAGATACTGGAGTGGTTTGTTTTCTCCTTCTCCAGCTCATTTTATAGAAGAGGAAACAGGCAAACAGAGTTAAGTGATTTGCCCAGGGCCACCCAGCCAATGTCTAAGGCCGTATTTGAACTCAGGAGATGAGTCTTTTGACTCTGTGTACAAATACACACACAGTACATGCACACGTATACATCAATCCATTAATCAATAAATGTGTATTTAGCACTGTGCTGAGTAGTGATCAACACAAAAAGTGGCAAAGGAGAGCCCCTGCCCTCAAGGAGCTTACAATCTAATAGGGGAGCCAGCTGGCAAACAAGCTATGCAGAAGATCCAAAGGAAGGAATTAGCTGAGAGATGGCTCTAGCAGGAGGAGGGGGTGGGAAAGGCTTCCTAGAGAAGGAGGGATTTCAGAAGGAAGCCAGGGAGGCTTGAATGTGGTCATGAAGTGGGAGGGAAACAGCCTGAGAGGATGCCGAGAGGTGGAGGGGCTTGGTGGGATGGCCAGGAGGCCTGGGTCCCTGGATCCCAGTCCTGGGGTGGGTGAGGGGTAAGAAAACTGGTTAAGTTCTTTTTGGGGGGAGGTTTGAACACCAGACAGGATTTTGTATTTGACCCTGGAGATGGACGTTACTGAGTAGGGAGGGGACATAGGCAGCCAGACTTGGCGCTTTGGCTCTTCCCTTCCTTTCCTTCTCCCATCATCCTCCTGGAAGGTTTCTCCTCCTGCTGCTAATTCCCTTTTCCTCCTAGTCTGCTCTGTCCCACCTCCCCCAGATTAGGCATTGGGTACAGATTCCCCAGGGGCTTTTATTTCTCCCCCCTGCATTGATTTAGCTCCTCCCAAGGATATGCCAAGGAGCTGAGTGATGAAAGTCCCAAGATTAAAACAAAACAGACTTTGCCCTCTGAATACCCCACAAGTCAGTGCAAAATACAGACGGTGATTTCTGGTGAGTCAAAGCACTAGCAACTAGAGGGATCCCCATAGACCTGTTGAAGGGGAGGCACTTGAACCGAGCCTGGAAGGCAGTTTTAGATAAGAGGCAGGGCATGCTGGGTTTCTGGGACAGCCTGTGCAAAAGCCCTGTGGCTGGAGATGGCTTATTCTGTAAGGGAGATTGACATAGCCCTTAGTGAGGCTAGAGCCGTATTGTAAAGAGCTTCACACTTAGTTCTAGCAGCCATTGTGAGAGCCTTCACCCCTTCTTCAGAGACATCCTGACATCTCTGCTTTAGGGATATCAAGAGATGGTACCCTCAAGAGAAATACGGAATTTAGGAAAAGTTAGGGAGTGGGGAAGCATGAAGAGTTGTCCTTTGGACGTGTTGATTTAAAGACGCCTATAGGACATCATGATGGAAAGGTCATCTAGGGGGCTGGCGCTCTGGAGAGAGACTAGGTCCAGGTAGAGAGATTGAGGAAGGGTCTGCATCGAAATGGCAGATGGGTGACCCCTTGGGAGCAGATGGTGTGGGCCAGAGGGAGAGAGAGAAGAGATCAGAGCATGGGGCCTCCATGCTGGGAGAGGCCTCAGGAGGAGACAGCAGCCCCGGCAGTGCCCAGGACGAGGCTGGCTTGACACGGGCATCTGCTGCTGAGGCCAAGGAGGAGGCAGGCTGAGAAGAGCCCAGCAGAACGTTGTTATTACAGAGGAGATCTGAGTGTGATTCCTGGCCGTGGGACAGGAATGGCAGGCAGAGAGGGCTGGAGGAGCTGGGAGGGGCTGGGCTCAGCCTGATCAAGGAGGAGCAGGCAGGAGACAATCTAGAGGGGTTGGGAGCTCAAGCTGTCCATCTGGTTTCTATCGCCGCCACTCATACTCCCCAGCCAATCTGGACTTTGTTCAAGAACTCTACATCCCTCTCCAGCCTCCAAGCATTCCCACATTCCATGCCTGGAATGCATTCCTTCTTCCCCTCTGCCTCTGTGAGTCCTCCCTTCTCTTCCAGCCTTAGCCCAGGTGCACCCTCCTTACCTGCCTCCCCATCGTCCTTGTCTGCAGAGGACTTGGGCTTTAACAATTGCTCGGCATTCTAGCCCCACAGGCCCAATCGAGCCTTGGCCTTAGTCTGCAGGAAGCTGGGGGGTGGGAAGGAGCCCACCCCTCAGAGTTCCTTTTCTCTCCCCAGCTCTGCCTCCTTGGGCTCCCATCCTTCTCCAAAGGGACCGCACTGTGCCAAGGCAGGAATGGCCCCTGTGCCCCTGACCTTCAGGGCTCTCCAGGTGAGTAGGAACTTTCCCTCCCTTGAAACAGTCCCTTTGTGCTGAGGATGGACACATTTCTGCCCTTTATCTAAGAAATGGGCTCCATCCCAGAATGCTGGGCTTGAGCCAGAAAGAGCCACAGAAAGCCTCTGGCCCAATTCCTTCATCTTACAGAAGAGGAAACAGATGCCCCGAGCTGGAGGAGTGACATCTTACAAATAGGATCCCAGCCCCAGCCCCTCGATTTGCCAAAAGAGACTGATGCTGGGACGTCCGAGTTGGAGGGGACCCAGGAAATTGACTTGCTGAGGTCACTCAGGTACTGTGAATGGTCAAGCTGAAGGAGAAGAGATCCTGAGGAGCCCTCGGACCTGCCACTAGAAATGAAAAAAGGTGGGATTTGTACCCAGGCCCACCTCCAGCTCCTCTGCCTCTCCTCTCCACACCAGAAAGGTCTCTGAAGGAGCTCAGATGTTTCTGGGCTGCCTTGAGCTTGACCAAACCCTCCTCCCCAGTGCTACACCCATCTAGAAGGGCTTTAGGGTGGGCCTGGCCATAGACTGTCTGCTTCCTCAGCCCTGGCAGGTCAGGACCCAAATGACAAAATGGCCCCAGGCCAGCTTGGCCTCTTGCCTCTGCCCCAGTGACAGGGGCAGCAGGTTGGAGAAGGGACGCAGGGGCTAAGGATCATGCAGTCTTTAGAGGCTATGCCAACTTTATCCGGGGGGGTTGGTCTGATGGTTGTGAGATATGGGACAGTCCAGTGACCCGAGAGTGGACATTTAGTCAGAGGCAGGAAGGAAATCCTAACAGTTCAGATAGTTTCTCCTCTAAAGGAAGGCAGAGGAAAGGAGGGATCAGTTGGCCTAGTTCTTAAGTGGCCATTTCCTCATCAGCCCTGTGCCTGGCCCTGAAGATAAGATATAAAGTGAGACATGCCTACCCTCATGGGGCTTACATTCTCCTAGGAGCATAGAGCATGCTCATACATAACAGTAAGAGAGACAGAGCTGACATTTATATAGGGCCTTTAATTTTGCACAGCGAGGTTCAGCATATGTGAAAAATGACAGGGCTGGGAGGATGCCATGGTGAGAGAATGTCTGGTTCCCGTCTCTTGCGACCACTGTGATAGGAGCTGCATGGCGATGAGAAAGAAACTCTGGCTCTGACTTCTTGTCACTACGAGGATAAGAAGAGGATGCAGCCCCACTCTCTATTTTGAGCATCCAGACGTAGCTCTTGGAGGTCTGAAGGTCACAAACCACGTCTGGCAATGAAGCCACGGCCTCCACTTTGACCAGGTGGCAGATGTCGGTATCTTCTTCCTTCTGTTAATTGTTCCCAGACGTGTGTAACCTCATCTCCCCTTCCTGCTTTCTGTCAAAGTCCACCTTCCAGTGCTGCTTCGGTGTTCTCATTCAGCAGAAGGTGGCTGAAGTGTTACGCTCTGGGCTCTCCGACTTTTCATACAGATGAGCCTGCATTAGGAGGGTAAATAAAATCCACCGATCCTATCTCTGCGCATTGATTTCGTGATTGGCAGGAGTGTGCACACTTGTATAATTTGACTGCAGTGGGGATTCTCAGTGACTAACATAATCAGGGAAGGTCTCTCAAAGGAAGGGCCACGTGCAGTGAACGTTGCCCTGGGGCTCCTAGGAGGTCGAGGTGAGGAGCATTCCAAGAAGAGAAAACAAAGTTCTGTCAACACAAGCAGGTACCTTAACCTCTCTCACTTTCTTTTCCCTCTTAGTTAAGTAATCATCTATTTGGAAAGACCTATAGCTTTTGCCTTAAGTGGTTGTCGTGAAGACTGAGGACTATAATCTGGAACCACCACCTTGGAGCCCTGCAGCCCTGACTGATGAAGGGGTCATGTGGTCCACTGTAGCTGGGCCAGTGCCAACATGCCCCTCTCTAGTCCTTGGCCAGCAGGCCACTATCCTGCCCCTTCCCACTTTGCCTTTCTGGATAGGGCTTTTTGCTGTTTGGGGCCATTTTCCTTAAGGAAGCCTCCTCCCCTAATGCAGATGGGCATCTTCTCAAAAACTTAGAGTTGGGGTGACTTGTCCTACATCACACAGCCTTTGTATGGGTCAGAGATAGGACTTGAATCTGCCTTCTCCTGGTCTCAAGGCCAGCTCCTGAGCTGCTGCCCAAAGCTGCCTCCCAGGTTCTGGGCCATGACCATGGCAATGCAGCCCTTGCTCCTGGACCCTGGATAGGGCATGCCAGTCTCCTCCTGATAACCCTCTTCATCATCCCAGCAACTTGCCCAACCAGAATCCCTCTTCCTGATCACACGCCCCTCCCTGAACGTGGCACATCCTCCCAACAGAACTGTAAACACCATCTTCAATTGTCTATTTGTACCAGGGCAGCTAGGTGGCTCAGTGGCTAGAGAGCTGCACCTAGAGCTGGGAAGACCTTGGTTCCAGTCTGACCTCAGACACTTGCTAGCTGTGTGACCCTGGGCACTTGACCTTTTTGCCTCATTTTCCTCATGTGTAAAATTGAGGAAATAATAGTGCCTATGTCCCAAGGTTGTTGAGAGGATCAAATGAAATTACACTTACAGAGCATTTTGCAAATCTTGAAGCACAATAGAAATTCTGGCTGTTATTTATTATTATTATTATTACCATCAAAATATCCCCAGTACTTAATACACGTTGTTTAGTCATTTTCAGTGATGTCTGACTCTTCATGATCCCATTTGGGATTTTCTTGGCAAAAATACTGAAGTGATTTGCCATTTCCTTTTCCAGAGAATTAAGGCAAACAGAGGTTAAATAATTTGCCCAGGGTCACACAGTTAGTAAATGTCTGAGGCCACATTTGAACTCAGGTCTTCTTGACTCCAGACCTGGCTTTCTATCCACTGTGTCACCCAGCTGCCCACTTAACATATAGTGCTTAATGAATGATTTTTCATTGCTTCACAATCAATATAAAAGAACTTTGGAAACCTCAGAATTCAGCATAAAGTCAACTTTGCTGCCTGGCTCAACTGTTGGGACTGTGGATGCACCAGGGGATCCAGTGCTTGTGGACTGACTATGTGTGTCCAAGGTGACTTTAGTGTTGCCCCAGGCAACATGGTTCCATTACTCTGAAACTGAGTGCGTGGGAAGAAACTGTTAAGGATTCTCTGTGTGATCCAATGGAAACACCATCTGATTCATCATGGAGCAGGAGGGCCGGAGTGTTTCTCACTGGAAATTAATCATTAAAGGCCTATGCCTGATGTTAATGTTGTGCATGTCTTTATGAGATGTAACTAGGTCTGGTGTATGATCTGGGGGCTGGACCTGGGTGTTCTTACTTGGGGAAAAGATTTGGGGGGACAAGGGGCAGTGTGGTGAAGTGGGAAGAACTGAGGGCTATGAGCCATAGCTGGACTCTGAGTTCTGCTGCTTACTGGTCAGCAGTGGCCTGAGGCAGGCCACTTAGTCTTTCATTGACTTAGTTTCCTTATGCATAAAAATGGGAATGATAATAAATCCTGGAATTGCCACAAGGAAAGAGTTTTGTAAACTCCAAGGCTCAATTTAACTCTAAGGATCGTGTAAGGACCACATAATCTGAGATTTAGACCTAGAAAGGACTTTAGGATTCACATATTCCATAACTTCATTTTACTCTTGAGTAAACTGAGGCCTAGAGAGCTTTGGAGACACTCAAAGCTGCCCAGGTGGAGCCAGGAAGTGATCTCAGGACCCCAGGCTCCAAATGCAGTGTTCCTTCAGCCATACCTGGATGTCAACAAGAATGACTGGATTTTGACATGAGTCAGGATCTGTTATAGACAGGCATATAGTAGGTAATCCAGAGATATTTTCCCTAGAATGCTCCAAAGTCTACACCTGGAAGGATTGCCCCCTGCTGTGTAGACCTCTTCTCCTTTGGTATCATAGGAATCATTGACATTCAAGGATGTGGCTGTAGACTTCACCCCAGAGAAGTGGGGATGCCTGGACCCATTTGAGAAGGAGCTGTACAGGAATGTGATGCTGGAGAATTATGGGCACCTGATCTATCTGGGTAAGAACAACTTCCCTGGGTGGGTCACATTCTACGTGTTGGATGAAGTTTGGTCCCTCCCTTGGGAAATATCCTGGGAGTTGAGCTGTTATTGTTTGGAAAACAGATCTGAGAGTGCTAATCCTTCTGTGTCTAAGAGATAGGTACTTATGTTATCTATTCACGTAGGAAAGACCTTTAAGGAATTGTACCAGCAGACACCATGCTAGGGAGTGGACACCCAAAGACATAACCAGACCATTTCTCCCTTTAGGGAGCTTACATTTTATAGGAGACGTTTGCTTTACAAAACTGAAATATGGCACTAATTGTGTTAGCCCTGAGGTTGTACCTCCCCCAGTCTCTTTTCTTAGAGGTCTGAGATTAGCCTGTGAATTTCAAGTGCTGATACCTAAAGATCTGAAATATTCCCACCCACTCATACTACAATGGGTTCATAGCCATTCTGAGACAGATTCCCCAGGTAGATTCTATGAAGAGAATACAGAGCCTGCTTGAGGGGCCATTCGACTTGTGGCCTATGGACCTTGCCTTAGCTTAGCCACTTCTCCCTAAAAAGAGAGGAGCCAAGGTGGAAAGCTGAGCTGACTCTTTGCCTGTCTCTTTGCTCTTTCCGGTGAACAGGACTCGCTGTTTCCAAGCCAGATGTGATCTGCCACTTGGAGAGAGGGGACCCTCCTTGGAAGCCAGTGATTGAAGTCCCAAGGACCAGCTTTCCAGGTGAGTGAGTGACCATCCAGCAGCTGGGCAGCCTGCTTAGCCTTGTGTGCCAATCTTAAAGGCAGGACGACTCGAGTTAGCATTCTGACACGTACTAGCTCTGTGACCCTGGCCAGGTCACTGACTCTTTCAGTTTCCTCATCTGTCAAATGGCAAATAGTGACTTAATTGAAGGGTGGCCATGAGAATCAAATGAGAGAATATTTTAAAAGAGCTTTGTAAGTGCTAAAGCACTGCCTAAAAAGAGTTATCATCATCACCATCATCATCATTATTATCATCATCATTATCATCACCATCATCATCATCATCATAATTGTCATCATTATTATCATCATTACTATCATCATCATCATCACCATCATCATAATCGTCATCATTATCATCATTATCATCATCATCATCATCATTATCGTCATCACCATCATCATCATCACTGTCATCATCATCACCATCATCATAATCGTCATCATTATCATCATTATGTCATCATCATCACCATCATCATCATTATTATCATCATCATTATCATCACCATCATCATCATCATCATAATCATCATCATTATTATCATCATTACCATCATCATCATCATCGTCATCATCATCACCATCATCATAATCGTCATCATTATCATCATTATGTCATCATCATCATCATTATCGTCATCAACATCAGCATCATCACTGTCATCATCATCACCATCATCCATCATAATCACCATCATTATTATCATCGTCATCATCATCATTGTCATCACCGTTATCATCACCATCATCATCATCATTATCATCACCACCATCATTGTCATCATCATCATCATCATCATTGTCATCATCATCATTGTCATCATTATCATCACCACCATCATTGTCATCATCATCATCACCATCATTGTCATCATCATCATTGTCATCATTATCATCACCACCATCATCATTGTCACCATCATCGTCATCAGGCAGAGGAGACATTGCAGACAGCTCAGCCCTTCATCTGGGGGGTCACTCTTTTCAAATGTAGTACATGATGCTGTCCTCAGGGCTCCCTGCCCTGAGCTCGCCATTTCAGTGCAGACACTTCCATTTTTGTGACCCATCCATTTCCAACATGGACCTGTTTATCACAATAGACAACATAAGCTGCAGATCTCAACCAAGGCTTCTTAACTTGACACTAGTTACCCCTGTGGAGTCTGTGGATAGAATTCAGGGGGTCTGGGATCTTGGGAAAAAACAACAAACTACCAAGATACTCTCACCCCTCATTGAAACTGAACATTTCCTTCATCCATGGATAATAATAATAATGATAATAGTGAAAAACAAAACAAGACAAAACATGCTTTGGGCTTCTCCTTACTGCCAGAGAGGCCCCAGATGCACAAAAAGATGAAGAGCCCCGAATCTAAATGTTTCTTTCTGAGTTTGTCAGTTTTTCCAGTAATTTGAGTCCTACTCATTGAGCTCCACTCTTTTCCTTCTGTTTTTTTTTTTAAACCAGTATCTAAAAGTCTGTTTAGCTACTGTTTTATAATATGACATGCGGGCATGATCACCTACTCCTTTCATCCCTACTTATAGGCATTCCTTCCTTTAAAATTCTTGTGCTGTGCATTTATGTAAAAGGTTTTTTGCTTTGTTTTATACCCCTAACAGTGGTTAGACCCTAAGGAACATTTCTTGATCTTCTCACTTCTCTAAACTCCTTCTCCATCGGTGACCTCATTGCATCCCATGGACTCAGTTCCCACATCACCAACTGCCTGTGCCATTTATCTGTCTATCCATCCATTCATTTATCTAAATGATTTTTTTTCAATGAGATTATAAAGAATTTTCTTCTCCTTCACACTTACCTTTCCATTAGGAGAAAAAGAGGAAAACAGATAGTTTGTAAGGAATATACATTGTGGGACAGCTAGGTGGTACAGTGGATAGAGCACTGGCCCTGGAATCACAAAGATGTGAGTTAAAATCTGGCCTCAGACACTTAATAGCTGTGTGACCCTGGGCAAGTCACTTAACCCTAATTGCCTCTCAAAAAAAGAAAGAAGAGAAAGAAATACACATAGTAAAGCAAAATATACTGACTGTGTCCCAAAAATCTACATCTTCTGCACTGTGTCCCGCATCCATGCCCCTTTGTCAGGAGGGAGGTGGCTAACTTCATCAGGGGTCCTCTGGAAGCATGGAATCGTTGCCGTCATCTGAGATCCCAAATATTTCAAAGATGTTTGTCTTTGTTATTATTGTTATTGTATTGTAGAGATTGTTCTCCTGGTTTTTCTCCCTTCCCTTTGCAGCAGTAATTACTAGTCTTCCCTGGTTTTCCTTAAATAATTCTTTTCTTCGTGTCTTACAATGTAGATATTTTATTACATTCTTAAATCATAATTTACTCAGTCATTCCCCACTGGATGAGTACTCCCTTGGTTTCCAGTTCTTTACCACTACAAAAATAGTTACTACATATATTTTTGTCCACATGGGCCCATTTCCTATTTCTTTAATTTCTTTGTGGTGCTCTGTGTGTGTGTAACATATATGTTGTTATATATATATTTATATGTGCATATATGCACATACATTTATATACACACATATACATATGTACATATATATACATATATACACACACACATATAGGTGTAGTACTGAAGTGAGGCATACAGGTATGTAGGTGGCATAGTGAATACAGCCTTGAATCTAGAGTGAGGAAAACCTGATGTGAAATCAAGCCTCAGACACTTACTAGTTGTGTGTCCTTCAGCTGTTTGCCTCAGTTTCCACAATGAAATGGGGATAATAATAGCATCTGTCTCCCAGGATTGTTGTGAGGATCCAGTGAGATACTGTGGCTTGCTTAGCATAATGCTGTTCTTGTCAGCCTCGTTATTGTAGTCAGTCAGTAAGCGTTTATTAAGGACCTGTGATGTACCAGGCACTACCTGAGAGCTGCGGATACAGAAAGTGACAAAAAACGTTCCTTACCCTGTAGGAGCTTACAATCTAATGGGAGGGATAATAGGTAAACAAATATGGCCAAAAAGCTACACGTAGGGAAAATGGCCAGAGCTAAGAGATGGAGTATATCACTGGGTCAGGAGGTATGCACAGTAATTGGGGGCCATAGTTCCAAATTACTTTCCAGAAGAGTGGACCAACTTATGGTTCTACCAAGGCTGCCTTAATATACCACCTTTTTTCATTTCCCTCTGAGATTCTTGATCTTTTAGTTTTTCAGATAAATTTCCTTATTATCCTTTCTAGCTCTGTAAAAGAATCCTGTGGTAATTTTAGGGGATGGTACTATAAGTAAGTTTAACCAATATTGTAACTTTTATGATACAGGCTCAAGCTATTTATGAGCAATCAATACTTTTAGAATTCTTTACGTCTGTATTTCCAAAGAATGTGGCATACTGGACATTTGGAACTGGCTTTCTCTCAAGCATCTCAACTTCAACATATCCCCGAACAGAAATTATCTGTCCCCCACAACAAGTTTTTTTGTGAATTCTTTTCTCATTAATGCTACCACTGTCCTTCTAGTCACTTCTATTCAAAATCTTCTTGTCATTCTTGTCTCATCAATTTACTCACTCCCAAATCTAAACTTTTGCCAAATCGTTTCTTCCTCCCCAATATGACTGTATTTCTGGGTCTCCACTAATCCAGCTTAGTTTCCACTCTTGTCCCTTCTGGCTGGGACTGTTGCTATAGCCATCTGCTCAGTCTCCCTGCCTTCATACTGTCCCTGTTCCATTCCACACTCCATTCCAGTGCCAGATTTTTCTACCCCAGTTTGGGCATGCTCCCTTTACTCAGTGAGCTCCAAGTGGCTCCCTACTACCTTCCTCATAAAATGTACACTTTTCTTTTTGGCATTTAAATACCTTCACCACCTGATCCCTTCCAACTTCTCCAGGTTTTACACATCCCTCTCCTCCATGCCTTAAGCAGTCTAGTTAGCCTGGCCTTCTGGCTTCACAAATGATGTTCCATCTCCCAGCTCGGTGCTTTTACCTTAGCTGTGTCCTCCCAACCTGGAATGTTTCTCTTCTCCAACCCTGCCTCTTGGAATCCCTGAGAAGTGTCCATGCAGCTTGAAGCCTTCCCTAGAGGGGAGGCTCATCACCTCTCAAGGCAACCCTTTCCATTTGGGGATAGCTTTCATTGTTAGGACCTTTCTCCTGAGAATGAGCCTAAATTAGCTTCTCTGCAGCCTGCAGCTATGGCAGTTTCCAGCCACTGACTTCTTTGTCCCCTTTTCCCCATCTGCCTGGATAGTCTTACCCATCTCTTCCTTTTCCCATTTATATGTCCTTATTTTATCTAATTCTACAATTTATTTTCTTTTTATAAAATTTCCTTTATCTTTATGATTAGTACAGAAAAATGCAGATAACTTTTTACAAAACAAATTCCTCTCCTTGCATCTACCTGTGCCATTTGAAGGTTCCCGGTCCACTGTCATGTCATCTGTCTAATGATATTTGGAACATCGTTAGTGTGGAGGTAGGCTCACCTGGGACCTTTCAGTCTGCCATCTTTTGGCAAGCTTTTATGGGTTATCACTGCCCATAGAGAATTGCCATGGGCCCTTGATGGGATCACGGGAGAAGCAGATGTGTTCACAACCTTCTGGGGTATTATTATCAAGTTAGAAGAGTGAGGCATAGAGAGTGGAAACTGTAAATAACAAGGAATTCCTGGCTCTCTTGCTATAGTAGAGACAGTAAATGCTCCTGGAGTGAAGAGAATTGGGTAGGAAAGGATGATTGCATTGACTGAGCATGACTGTGTGAAGCGAGGATGGCCTGTCTCTGTCAGTCTTTGGTCATTGCTGATTCCCGCCTCTCTTTCTTGCTTCTCCTCGGTCTCTTCCCCCTTGTGACCCTATCTTCCCTCTTATTCCTTCTGTTTATCTTCCCCTCTTCCTACAGTTTTCCTAGAATATAGGGACACCTAAGAATAATAATAGCACTTTATGGCTTACAAAATACCTTACAAATACTATCTCATTAGATTCTCACAGCAGTGCTGAGAGGTGCATGCTGATATTATCCCCATCGTTTTTGTTGTTCAGTTGTTTTTTAATCATGTCCAACTCTTTGTGATCTCATTTGGCATCTTGTTGGCACAGATACTAGAGTTGTTTGCCATTTCCTTCTCTAGCTCATTTCTTATAGATGAGGAAACTGGGGCAAACAGGATTAAATGAGTTGCCCAGGTTCACACAGCTAGTAAGTGTCCAAGGCTGGATTTGAACTCAAGTCTTCCAGACTCTAAATCACTTGCTCTTTTCACGAGGTCATTGAGCTTACAAGAGTCTGGACCCCAACTTACAAGGCCCTGATGCAGACAATGCATGTGGAAGTAGGTGGTAATCGATAATGAGGCCCCAGTAGAGGCTAATCAGTCCCATATGCTCCTGGAATAATGTTAGATCTTTGGTATAGACGAGGCATTCAGCAACTCTGTGGCCTTTACCAGTTGTAGGGTGCATAAAAGCCAGAGGTGTGCATACAGTTACACCAGGTTGAATGAAATCCACTTTTCAGAGGGTTAATACTCAGGCTCTAGATGCAAATTATCCATTTTTAATATCTATGGCTAAGAAGTCAGACTGTCTCCTGGCCAGCCAGCAGAATCATGGTACTTTAAAGTTCCTAATATCCTTACATTGGACCCCTTTAATGCCAGAGAGCTTTCCTATTTTCATAGCTGGTCCACATCCTTCTTAAAATTGTCCTGCACAGAAGTGAATGCCTTCTTCCACATGTGCCCTGATAAGGGGATATTACATTGAGATGGAATTTTCCCTTGATTCCTAGCAGGCATGCCTCTCTTAATGCATCCCAAGATTGAATTCACTGCTGGCTCATCCTGAGTGAGTAGTCCACTGAGACCCCCAGATATTTTACAGAATGGTGATTCTACATCATCATCCTGTACTTGTGAGGTTGATATTTTGTACACAGGTATAAGCCTTTTCCATTTGTTCTATGGAATTTCATCTTTTCCTAAATTTTATCTTCCATTCCTAAAATGGAAATGAGGTCACCCAGGCCTAAGTTTGTCTCTATTACTAATTGGTGATATACTAAAAGTCTTTGAGCCTCATGTGGCAAATGGAAAAACTAACTTTCCTTTATCTCCAGGCTATTGTGAGGATGAATGTTAAAGTGATTCTAATATTATTTACATTTTGATGATGGTATTCGTGAAGGAGACACAAGCTAGGTATAAGTAAAGAGTAGATGGATGCAAGGAGAATATAGGTATTTAAATTTCATTTTCAGAGAGGGAGACTATTTAAAAAAAACAAGGGGTCTTTTCTAAAGGAGAGTCTTTCTCTAGAGACATTTTCTCAAATCTTACAGAGAGTCATCTGCTGGTCTCCAGCTTGAGAAAAACCTGGGAATGTGATGCCAGTTTGAGCAGCAGCAGAGCAATGAGGAGGCATATTCTAGGTAAGGGTACTCTCACACAAAGGAAGAAGCCATGAGTATAGTAAATATGGAAAAAGCTTGAATCCAGTTCTGATCTCTTCTCTACTGTAGGAAGAGTCTATGGGGAAAAGTCTCCATAAATGCAACAGAGAGAAGTTAAGTCTATTTTTTGACCAAAATAAATCTAATAGGAATCCACTCAAATTATTTTCTAATATTATTATTATATTGATATATGTTAATGTTATATGATATAATTAAATATTATAATATAATATATAAAACAATATAATATTATTAAATAATATTACTATATTACCAATATATTTCTAATACTATAAACTCTTCAGTTCTGGATTCAACCTTATTAAATATCATGGAATAGAGAAATCAGATGAATATCATGAATATAGGAGAGCCTCTAGGTGTAGCCCACCCACGAATGCCTATGGAACAGTAGGTCCTGGAGAGAAATCCCATGGACATCGGAAGGTTTTCCTTCAAGCTATGTGACTTATAGAGAACTCATCAGCAAATGCTTAGAAGAGAGGAAGTTCATGAATGTAATGAATGTAGTAAGGCTGACAGTCACCACCCATGCCTTTCTTCTCATCACAGGAGTCATACTGGGGAGCAACCTAAATATCCTGAATTTGGGAAGGGCTTCAAGAGAAGCACAGAGACTACAGAAAATCAGAAAACTTGTACTGGAGAGAAATCCCTCGGATATGATGTAGGTGTGAAGAACTTCTGGAAGACAGCTTTTACTCCACATGTGAAAGTACTTTGTAGGGAGAAACATTATGGATGTTACGAACACAGGAAGACATCCCTTAGCCAACATCAGATAAGTCATACGAGAGAGAAGTCTTATGAATGTAGTGAATGTGGGAAGACCTTCCATAGGAAAGGAATCCTTACTCAACATGTGAAAATTCACACTGGAGAGAAACCTTATGAATGTGGTGAATGCAGAAAGGCCTTCCATAGAAAGGCAACCCTTATTCTACATCAGAGAACTCATACTGGTGAGAAACCTTTTGAATGTAGTGAATGTAGCAAGAACTTTACCTGTAGACCAGAGCTTACTCGACATCAGAAAATTCATACAGGAGAAAAATCATATGAATGTCTTGAATGTGGAAAGAATTTTGCACATAAATCATATCTTACTCAACACAGGAGAATTCATACTGGAAAGAAACCTTATAAATGTAATGAATATGGGAAGACCTTTAGCAGGAGACCAGAGTTTACTCAACATCAGAGGATTCATACTGGAGAAAAACCATATGAATGTCATGAGTGTGGGAAGGCCTTCTATAGGAAGAGAGAACTTACTAGACATCAGAGAATTCATACTGGAGAGAAACCATATGAATGTCATTAGTGTGGGAAGGCCTTTCATTGGAAAAGAGTCCTTATTCAGCATCAGAAAATTCATACTGGAAAGAAACCTTTTAAATGTAAAAATGTGGGAAGCTTTCCCATTTAATTCATATCTCAATCAACATATGAGAATTCATACTGGAGAGAAACCTTATGAATGTCATGAATGTGGGAAGGCTTTTTGCTGCAGACAAGTGCTTAATCAACATGTCAGAATTCATACTGGACAATGTTTTAAATGCAGTGAATGTGGGAAGGCTTTCCACAAGAAGACAACCCTTGTTAAACATCAGAGAATTCATTCTGAATAGAAACCTTATAAATGTAATTAATGAATATGGGAAGGCCTTTTGCTCCAAACCAGTGCTTACTCATCACTGGAAAATTCACACCAAAAAGAAAGATTACAAATGTCATGAATGGGGGAAGGCCTTTTATTTCAGGAATGAATTTGCTGATGATCAAAGAATTCATATTAAAGAGAGATCTTATAAATGTCATGAATGTTAGTTAGAAAGTCTTCTGCCAGAGATGATCCCTAACTCAACATCAAAAAATTCATCCCATATAGAAAGCTTAGGACTGACATCTGGGCCATATGACTACAAGATCTCTCAAGTCTCTCCAAAATAGCAATTTTATGAAAGAAAGAAAGAAAGAAAGCAATTTCCTCTGTCTCCATGGTCTAGGATGCTGAGAACTCAAACTAGGTGAACTTGCATGAGTGTTTGAATTTAGGAAGGCTATCTGCCAGAGTGAAGAACTTCCATTCTACGTTAGGAAATTCATGCTAGAAAGAAAGCTTATGAATGATTGGCAGTAGGCCTTCTGCTAAAGCATTTCAGTTGAACTAAAGAAGTATATATTGAGTGTCTATTGTGTGTCAGCTAGGTGCCACAGTGGAGAGAGCATTGGGTCTGAAGTCAGGAAGACTCATCTTCCTGAGTTCAAATCTGGCCTCAGACATTTATTAGCTGTGTGACCCTGGGCAAGTCACTTCACCCTGTTTGCCTCAGTTTTTTCCTCTGTAAAATGAGCTGGAGAAGAAAATAGCAAACTACTACAGTATCTTTGCCAAGAAAACCCCAAATGGGGTCATAAAGAGTCAGACATGACTGAAATAACATTGTGTGTCAAGTACTGTGCCCAGAAATGAGGTATAAAGACAAAATTGCCCTGCCCTCAAGAAGCTTACATACTCCTGGTGGAAATACCTTATTCTATGCCAATTGCTTCGTAAATCTTGTCAATATAATTCATGAAGACTGCCCTTCCATCAGGGAACACAGCATTCTAAATTTCAGAGAATCCATACTACATAGAAAACATGATATAAGAAAGCTTTCTGCCCATACACAGGACTTGATGAAAATCAGAACATTTCATACTATAGGATATGCTGGCAATAATATAGTAGGGCCTTGAACTGTTGGTAAATGCTTACTTCCCATCTTTGGCCAAAGACTCCATTAATGCAATGAATGTGGAAAGACTGAGCTGGATCAGAAACTTTTACTCTGAATTATAACATACACAGTAGAGAAATCTCTGTAAATAAATATGCTCAAACATGAGGCAGCAGTCATATATTTCTGTTTTGTGTAGAGCTGATTAAAGTTTTAAACACTTAAAGGATTGATCTATGTGAGAAGATTGTTTTCTGTCCTGTGATAATAGCCGGGAACTTTTTACCAGCTTCACATATTTAATGAGAAACATGGGGTTTCTGTTACTAAAACACTATTACTACCTATCTTTCTAGCCATTTCTCTCTCTCTCCTCCCCCTTCTTCCCCTCCATCCATCTATCTAGTTGTCTGCAATACTCAGAAAGCAGTAATCTTGGGCACATTTTGTCAAATATTTCTTGTTTTTCAATCTGCAAAACTTTGTCTTTGGAATTAATTGGGCTTTTTCTCAGTATGTGTGGGATTGTATAAGATCACGCAATTCTGACTCTTGTGACTTCTGACATTGAGGCTGACATAGGGCTGTATGCCCCAATGTTCCTAATTCCTAGGCTTTATGTTTGAGACCAAAATTGGGATACAGGAAACGTTAATGTAAAAGAAACAGGCAGGTCCTGTTACTGGACACATATGGGAAGAGGAAATCAAAGAAAGAGTAGTCCCTCAGTCCTAGAAGAGGTCTAAGTCTGAGCCTGAGTGTATTCTTCCCAGATCCCTGCAGGAAGCTGATAACCCTCCAAGAGTAATCCCCTGCCCCACTCTCCATCTTTCTTCTCTTTGTACCTCTCAGGTATAGGAAGAATTTCAAGCCTCTCTGTAGTGGTAGAGACTGGGTCAATGTCTAACTCTGAGGCATAAATGGCAGATCACAAACATGGCAGCTATAACACTTGCATTGACTTAGCTGAGCCTGAGCATGGTGCCCTTGTCTGCCATTTTTCTTTCTCTCCTTAGTATTGGTGACAAAACACCCATTTGAAGATGAAGGTGTCCAAGCTTGGAGGCAGACTTATCAGTTTTAGAGGTGAGGAGATTGAAAGTCCTCAATCCAGCCCAGAGGGGACGTCTATCAGAGTGAAAGAGGAGGCAGTGATCAATGGCAGGTGGGTGAACCCAAGCCCTGCCCTGGTTTACCAAATGACATGAAACTACCCTGGGCTTAAAAAATTAACTTCACGCTTAAAAAATTGTGTCATAGACTCCTTTGGCCATCTGACTCAACCTGTGTTTTATCACAATATTTTAAAATTTATAAAATGAAAGATAAAAGATTATTATAGGGAATACAGTAGTCTCCTAGACCCGCTAAATAACGTAAAGGCTCAAATTCCATTCTGTCCCCCATGGCGTTTGTTAACTAGCTTTTCTTTTCCTCCACACGCTAGCATGAATCAGTACCAATCTCAAGTTCAAGGCTTCTTTGTCCCTTCCTTCAATGCCTGGTCCTGCTAGACTCAGGTGAATTGTTTGGACGAGGCAGATTGAGCTGAATTCATTTTATGGTGCCCACTGAGTGGTCCTGTAAACTGTTTCATGATCTGGTGTTTAGAGCTCAACCTTCTGGGAGAGTATGGTATAATGGGGCTTTGGAGTGCCTAACATGGAGGCACCCTGCTTCTGGGAAAAGATATCCTGAGTTCCTTTAGCAAGGTGGGTGGAAGTAGCCTCCTTTCATTGACTTCAGTTAGCCAAAACAGACAGTCTGTAAAACTGCCAGACTCTGACTATATTGCTCTTTTTCCATTGATGGTGAGAGAAGGTGATGCTCACATTCATGTGGGCACCATGAACTGAATGGAGTGGGGAAGGGCTTCCTTGGAGCTCTGAGGAATGGGCTTGATTTATGTCTTTTCTGTTTTGCTTGTCCATCTCAACTCTAGGCCCTGGCAGGGGAGAGGGGAGGTAGAATTCCCACCTGAACCCAGAATTGAACCATGAGAGCCTTGGAGCCAGGATTCCAGGGCAAGTATTGCAACTAGCCAGCCCATCAGGGAAGCCTGAAGAAGCCACCTGGGATTGAAGACCATCAGCAGTATGGGCTTAGAACTTGGGATTGTGATAAGAAAGTCTAGCCATGAACCTAATTCCCTGCTCCTCAGAATGTGACATGATGGGGGGAAAGGTGGCAGGGATTGTACCCCACATATTAGGGAACATGTATATTTGTTATACTTTTGAAGTGAATATCCTTTTGCTAATCTGTTAAGTAGTGAAATGGAACTGGAAGTACAACGAATTCTCCTCTAGAACTGAAAGAACACCATCAGTGTAAGCTGGAGTCAATGGCAGAGGACCTAGACAACTCAAAACTCCCTTAAGGGTACTAGAGAACCCTTGAGGTGGAGTGAATATGACCAACCTGGCCATCAGGTAGTGGCAGCTGAGGTACTTACAGTTAAAATAACAATAGTTAGTACAGTATCCTGTTTCAATCTTTGTCAAGGCATGAAATCTAGCTGTAGTTTTGTTTGTTTTTTGTGGAGGAGATAGCTTAAAATTGTATTTAAATGCTAAGTATTATAATCATCATGAGATATTACGTGAAACAGCTCAGATTTTATCTGGGGGCAGCTTTTCAAATATTGCACAAAGAGATGTCACAAATGTTTCTCAGATCTGGGGATTAGACTTGAGATTAGTGGACCCGAGCTCCTTTCAGAGAATTCCCTCTTCACATGGATAGGTCCTTTCCAGACATTTCCTCCATTTCTGTGTCTCCTAGTTTCTGATAATGACCAGTTTATCAATTTCCAGTTTGTTGTGATATATAATGTGAGTTGCTGGTTTAAATCAGGGCTTCTTAACCTGAGTTTTATAGATCTTGTTGGGTACATGGATAGAATTCAGGGGGTCTGTGAAGTTGTATGGAAAAAAACATATCCCAATATTCACTAACCTGTAGTTGAAATTCAGTGTTTCCTTCAAATATGTTTTTTAAAACAGTGCTTCTGGCTTCATGACCCTGCCAAAGATTGCCCAGGACACAAAAAAGTAAAGAACTCCAGGGCTAAATATTTCTTTCAGACTAAGACTGTTGGTTTTCTCAGCAATTGAACCCTAAGGTATTCCACTGTTTTCCTTCTGTGTTTTTATTTACTTATTTAAAGCACAGACATTTCTCTTTTTTTTCCTAGTTCCAAATTCTCTCCCTCTGCATGCCCTCTCCTCCACCTCATAAGAAGGCAAGAACAATTAAACCAAGCAAAACAAATGTCCATATTAGCCATGTTGCACATTTTTTAAAAAAAATCAATAGAGGAACAACAAAGTTTCAGTCTGCCCTCTAAGTCTATTTGTTCTCTATCTCGATGTGGAGAGCGGGTTTCTTGATGAGTCCCTTGAAATTGTGGTGGGTGATCATGAAGATTGGAGTTCCTAAGTCTGTCAAAAGTGTTTATCTTTACAATATTGCTGTGACTATGTAGGCTGTTCTTACATTTGCTTCACTTTGCATCAGTTCAGATAGGTCTTTCTGAAACCATTCCCTTCATCATTTCTCATAACACTATAGTGTTCTATCATAGTCATCTATTCTAACTTATTCAGTCATTCTACAATTGATAGTTTCCATCACAAACAGCTGCTATAAATATTTTTGTACATATGGGTTCTTTCTTTCTTTGGGATACAGACTTAGTAGCTGTATTGC